ACTTAGTTGTATTTTTTTCTGGAGCTTTGATCTGTTCTTTTGGGCCATATTCTTTTGTCTTGTCTCACCTGGTATGTAGTAAGGGGCAGAACCTTAGGCATTTGCCAGGGCAGGGCAACCTACTTTGCTGTTTTGTGGTGCTGTCTGTGGGGGAGGGGTCCAAGAGGGAACAGTGCAGGTTGCTCAGCTCTGGGCTTGGCTTTCAGTCACTTCCTCTGCCATCCACAATCAAATTGGGCCCTTCTGGTGCTGATTCCAGGATGGGTGGTTTTGTGTATGTTCTGGGACCCTGTGGGTCTCTCCAACAAACTCTGCTATGAGACTGGGAGAGTTTCTCCTGCCACAGCAACCCCTACATGTTTTTTCAGTCAGAGGTTTTGAGGCTTTATTTTACTGCACTGAGACCTTGGGTTGCACGGTCTATCTCACTCCCCAGTTGTTCCTCCCAGTTTATCCACACACAAGTGTGGGACTGCCTGATCCTCTAGCTACTGCCTTGCCGCAAGTCCTCTCCACCCAGCTGCCCATCTCTGCCCTTCCTACTGGTCTGGATGAATGTGTCTTCTTTAACTCCTTGGTTGTCAGACTTCCATACAGTTGGATTTTCTGTCAAGTCTGGTTATTTTTTATCTTTAAATTTTTTGTTGTCCTTCTTTTGGTTGTGTGAGGAGGCACAGTGTATCTACCTACGCCTCCGTGTAGGCCGGAACTCTGCCTAGTCATTCTATCCATTATTGAAAATGAGGTATGGAAATACCCAACTATTATTGTTAAATTTACTCTTCCCCCCTCAATTCTTTTAGACTTTGCTCCATATATTTTGGGGCTCTGTTTAGGTGCATACATGATTACAATTGTTATATATTCCTGATGGGTTGATCTTTTTTATTTTAAAATGTCTTCCTTTATCTGTAGTAACTGTTTTTGGTTTTAAGGTCTATGTTATATGATATTAGTATTGCTACTCCAAGTTTCTTATATCATGCTTTTTGCATGATATATTTTTTCCATACTGTTGCTTTCAACCTATTTGTATCTTTTAATCTAAAGTTGTCTCCTGTCGATCGTGCAGTGTAATAATCTCTGCCTTTTAATAACTTATTTATTTTTAGAGAGAGGGAAAAGGAGGGAGAAAGAGAGGGAGAGAAACATCGTTTGGTTGCCTTTCACACATCCCCAACTGCAAACCTGGCCCACAACCTAGGCATGTGCCTCAACTGGGAATTGAACCAGCAACCTTTTGGTTCATAGTCTGGCTCTCAATCCACTGAGCCATACCAACCAGGGTATAATCTCTGCCTTCTTATTGGAGTTTTCAATCCATGCACATGTAATATTATTAATATAGTTGGATTTTTTATCTGCTACTTAAATTTTATTTTCATATATGTCTCATATCTTTTTTTCTCTCTTCTTCCTTTACTGCTTTCTTTTGCAGTAAGTAAATACTTTTTGTGAAATATTTTCTTTTAATTACTTTTTAGTGTTTTTGAGCTATTGTCTTAATAATTGCTCCAGGGCTTACCATATACATATTAGCAGAATCTACTTCAAATACATACTAATTTAATGCTATTGAGATTTAGGATGTTACTCTTATAGCTGTACTTGTCTTTCCCCTTTTTGTGCTATTATTGTCATATATATCACTACATGTTACAAACCCAATGATACAGTGCCTTATATATACAATACAATGCCTTATATAATTTTGTATCTATTAAAGAAGCTGAGAAAAGACAGGAGAGCAAGTATATATTTTGTAGACTTTCTTATATTTATTTCACCTTTTTTGATTCTCTTAATTTGTTTTTGTTGGTTCAAGTTATCCAAATCTGGTGTGATATCCTTACACCAATACAACTTTGGTCTAACTCACTTTCTTTGTGCTGTTGTCAAATATATTACATTCTTATATGTTATAGGCCCAACAATGCACTTAAATACATATTGCTTTATATAATTTCTTTTAAAATCATTTAAGAGAAAAAATATACACATTTATACTGATGTAATGACATGTCACCTTTACTGGTGCTCTTTGTCTTTTGTGTGGATTTGAATTTTCATCTGGGTTTATGCCCTTCAGCTTTGCTTGACATATTTGTTAGTGTTTCTTTTAAGGCAGATCTGCTAGAAACAAATTTAATTTAGTTTATCTGAGAATGCCTTTATTTCACCTTCATTTTTTAAAGATAGTTTTGCTGGCCCTGGCTGGTGTGGCTTAGCGGATTGAGCACTGGCCTGTGAACCAAAGAGCTGCTGGTTCAATTTCCAATCAGGTCACATGTGTGGGTTGTGAGCCAAGTTGTGCCCCCAGCAGGGAGTGCTTGAGAAGCAACCACACATTGATGTTTCTCTCCTTCTCTCCTTGCCTTCCCCTCTCTAAAAACAAAAACAAAAGATAGTTTTGTTGGATATAAGATTTCCTTGGTTGACAATTTTTTTCTTTCAGTACAGTTGATCTTCATTTTCATAGATTCTGTATTTACAAATTTGCTTACTAGCTAGGTTTTGTTGGTAATACCCAAATCAATACTCATGGTGCTTTCACAGTCATTTGCAGAAAAGTGCAAAAAGTATCAGAAATTTAGGTCACCAGATATGCCTGTTTCCAGCCGAAGTTGAACAAGGTGATGCCCTGCCTTCTTTTGGCTCTTATACTGCAAACAAATGCCCTTGTTATGATCTATTTAGTGCCACAGATTTGAATTTTCATGGTGTTTTTTGGTGCTTTTGCTATTTAAAATGGCCCCCAGGCATAGTGCTGAAGTGCTGTCAGGTTTTCCTAAGTGCAAGAAGGCTGTGATGTGCCTTACAGAGAAAATACATGTTTTAGATGAACTTTGTTCAGACATGTGTTATAGTGCTGTTGGTTGGAAGTGCAATGTTAATTATCAATAATGTATATTAAATAAAACTTCTTTAAACAGAAACACCATAAAATGTGATTATATATATATATATATATATATATATATATAATTTATTTATTTATTTATTTAAAGATTTTATTTATTTATGTTTAGAGAGTGGGGAAGGTATGGAAAAAGAGGTAGAGAAACCTTGATGTACAAGAGATACATGGATAAGTTTCCTCTCACAGGCCCTCAAGTGGGGGCCTGGTCTGCAACCCAGGCATGTGCCCTGACTAGGGACCAAACTGACCGCCTTTGGTTCGCAGGTCGGCACCCAATACACTGATCCACACCAGCCAGGGAAAACCAAGTTTATATATTGATTGGTTGAAACAATATTGTGGCCAGAGGCTGGCAGGAACTTAACCCCGTATTTACCCCTAGGAGCAATGGCTCAGTATTAGTTAATTCAGTGTTTGCAGGGACTTTATAGAATATAACTACCATAAGTAATCAGAATCCACTGTAGTTTGAATATGTCATCCCACTGTCTTCTGGCTTCCATTGTTTTGGATGAGAAACAGTCAGTCTTATTTTAGTCCCCTTGCATGTGATGAATCTTTTCCCTCTTGCTATATACAAGATTTCTCTTTGCCTTTCAACACTTTTACAATGTGTCTGAGTCTGGATCTCTTTTGGAATTTGTCGAGCTTCTTGGATGTATAGATTAACAATTTTCAGCACATTTGGGAAATCTTTAGCCAAGTTTTCTTTTTTCTTTTTTCCTGCTCCCTTCTCTTTCTCCTCTCCTCTGGTACTCCTATTACAGATATGTTGGTGTGTGTAAAGATGCCCCACATTTCTCTGGGGCTTTGTTTATTTTTCTTGATTCTATTTTCTCTCTGTTTTTTGGATTCCATAATTTCTACTTCTCTTCAAGTTTGCTAATTCTTTCTTCTGTTTGTTCAGATCTGCTGTTGAGTGCCATAATGAATATTTCCTTTGGGCTAATGTACTTTTCAGCTCCAGAGTTTCTTTTTGGCTCTTTTTGTTTTGTTTTGTTAAATAACTTCTACCTCTTTATTGATATTCTCTATTTGATGAGACATTGTTGTCATACCTTCTTTTATTTCTTTAAGCATGGTCTTTGTTAAACTTGACATCTGTTCCCTCCCACAGGAAGTCTCATTGCCTTATGTCTCATAATTTTTATTGAAATCTGGACATTTTAGGTAATATATTGTATTGTATTGTAGCAACTGTTCCCTTTCTTCCTCTCTAGGTATTGTTTTTGTTGTTGTTTTTTTTTTGCTTGTTTCATGACTTGACTAAGCTATTTTAGTTAAGTCTATTTCCTCCCATTGTAAAATCTTTGGTGTTGCTCCTCAGAGGACACTGCCTTGGGCATGCACACCATCACCTTGGGATAAGAGGGGTCGTAGCAGACTCTCTTTGACTCTCTTCCCCCAATTTCTGTTAAGCTGTCTGCTTCATTTGGTGTTACACACCACCTATTAAGCTCCACTAATTACTGGTGGATTCTTCTTCTTCTCCTTCTCCTTCTCCTCTTTGTCTTCTTCTTTTTACAGTTCCCTGGGGCATATATTGCTCAGCAATCTGATCCAATTAAATGTGAACAGGAGTAGATTTTGAGACTGGTCTTTGAGGTATGTTCTGACCCCGGTAGGGTTCTTAGGGTTCTTAGCTTTCTGTCTTCCTGATTCTCTCTGGTTAATTTAGTTACCTATGGTTTAGCCTTGTGGTTCTTAACTAAGAAGAACTTTTTTTTTTTAAAGAGGGCTGTTAAGGGTGAACTTTCTCATATTAGGTTTCAAATAAAATTACTGCCTTTGAGAGAGCCTTGAGTCTCTTATCTACTGAGTGCTTTTGCCTGGGAAAAAAATCTCTCAGCCACTACTCTGGGTACTGGGTAGGACAGTAGCCTCTGGTCTTCTTGGTTTGCTTCTCCTAGCATGTTCTATTAGCAATCTGCAATGAGGGCAGGTGGGGCCCCAGTATGCTTGGACTGTCACAACTGGGACAAAGACTCCATTCTATGAGTAGTAGCTTCACAGGGGAAGGGAGCCCCTACTTCTCTGCCATACTCACTGGAAATTTAGCTTCAAGTTGGAGTTAAAGGGGATGAAAAATGCTGGCAAGGTATGGTAAGCAAGGTTTGATTGGGAGGTGTAGGGAGAGGAAGCATTGTCTTCTTGCCCATACCTACCTAGAGTGGAGTCTCCTTCAAGTTGAGCTGGTGAAAGGGAAGTGGTGGAAGTGATGGAGAAGGGGATTGGTTTGGCTCAAATGCTGCAGACACTGATGATTCTTACTAAGTTTTAGTAGGTTTTATTGAATTAATGTTTCTTCATTGGCTATTTGCCATTAGAACAATTTTCAGAGATTTTTTAAAAATTTCTACCAGCTTTGATTGTCTTTCTGAGGAGTGAGTGGGTATACAGAGATCCTCACATTGTCATGTCAGAGCTTTTATCTCTCCTTAAAATATTTAAAAATATTTTAAAAATAGGCCCTGGCTGGCATAGCTCAGTGGATTGAGTGTGGACTGCGAACCAAAGCATTGCAGGTTCGATTCCCAGCCAGGGCACATGCCTGGGTTACAGGCCCATGGCCCCCAGCAACTGTACATTGATGTTTTAAATTTTTTTTTAAATATTTTCTTTCTTTCTTTCTTTTTTTTAGACAGAGAGGAAGGGAGGGAGAGAAATATCAATTGTGGTTGCCTCTTGTGTGCCTCCTGCTGGGGACCTGGCCCACAACCCAGGCATGTGCCTTGATAGGGAATTGAACCAGCGAACCTTTTGTTCACAGGCCAGTGCTCAATCCACTGAGCCACACCAGCCAGGGTTTCCTGTTTTTCTTTTTAAGCTTTTTGGTTAGTCTTATTTACTTCAACAGCTATCCAGTACCACAGGCAGCTATAAAATTAAAACACTTGTCTGTAACTACTTTTGACAAATGACTTCAGAAGCTGGCTTTTTGCACTTGGCAAGCTCCAAATGAAGCTAGACACAGTCAGCCTTATAAGTTGGGTCTTTCAAGGAACCACAAGCCAGTGCCACTAATGACTATTTTGGGGAGTAAGACTTGGAAAGAGCTCCGACTCCATTCTATTCCCTTCGGTGGCTGCCATGTTTCAGTGGAAATGTGGGGCTATTTCTCAACATTGCAACAGAGCTGGAGAGTTGGGAACAGGACTAGGGCAAGTTAAAGTCACAAAGCTGCCTCATCTTACCAAGTTTCAGCTATCTTTCTTGAATATTCATTCCTCAATTTTCTGCAAGCCTTTGGTTAAGTTATAGACTCTTTAAAAAGTTGATTCTGGCCTTGCAGACACCACTGCCACCTTGGGACTTCCTGTGCCCAGCCACGGTCAACCCCACCGTGTTCTTCAACCTTGCTGCCGATAGTGAGCCTTTGGGCCATGTCTCCTTTGAGCTGTTTGCAGACAAATTTCCAAAGACAGCAGAAAACTTTCATGGTCTGAGCACTGGGGTAAAAGGATTTGGTTATAAAGGCTCCTGCTTTCACAGAATTATTCCAGGATTTATGTGCCAGGGTGGTGACTTCACATGCCACAATGGCACAGGTGGAAAGTCCATCTCCGGGGAGAAATTTGATAGTGAGAATTTTGTCCTGAAGCACACAGGTCCTGGCCTCTTGTCCATGGCAAATGCTGGACCCAACACAAATGGTTCCCAGCTGTTCATCTGCACTGCCAAGACCGAATGGCTAGACGGCAAATATGTGGTCCCTGGCCAGGTGAAAGGCAGCATGGATACTGTGACAGCCATGGAGCACCATGGGTCCAGGAATGGCAAGACCAGCGAGAAGATCACCATTACTGACTGCAGACAACTCTAATAAATTTGACTTCCGTTTTATCTCCATCACCTGAGCATTCCTTCTGTAGCTCAGGAGGAGTGTTCCCCTGAGCTACATCTGCTTGGAATGTTCTATAGTCTTCGTGTTCTTGATGCAGTTCATTGGGTTCCATGTTTTCCCTACTCCTTCCAAGTCTAGCTGGTTTGCAGAGTTATGTTTATGATTATGAAATAAAAACTAAACAAAATTGTCAAAAAGAGTTGATTCTGACCATTTTTGCTGGTTTTTAAAAATTGCTTTTATGTAGGAGTGAATTTTCATAGCTACCGTCTTTGGCATTTTTGCTGGCATCACCCAAATCAACATTTAATTAGTATTAATGTTCAAACATCAGTACATCCACCAAATTTCTATACTATGCTCAGGTTTCTTTATATGATCCAAAAAGATATCCTGGGAGACTATGTTTCTTTCTTGAAATCAAGTGAAAGCAAATAAAGTTCTAAAATTTCCACTGTCTAACAGTGTTGTAATTCTATTGTAATACTGTGAAAAAGGGAAATGAGGTTTATTTAGCATGAGTAGTTCTCTCTGCTCCCTCTACTTGGTACTTACAAGTTATCTGAAGAGTATAGAATCTAGAACCTTGTCAGGGTGACTAACATCAAAGTCATTATTGAATAGTTTTATAAGTTACATTTTAACATTTATTGAAAGTCAGAATGGGGTTTTCCTATCCCCAGTATTTTTCCTATTTTCTAAAACTTTTCAAGGTTTGTCTACAGTAGTTCCAAAACTATATCTCCAGTTTCTTTCAGCATCTTTGGGGATGGGCTGCATCCAAATTTGCAGTCTTAAACATTTCAATTGAGATAGTGCTATCTTATCATTCTTCACTTCTTTGGGGCCTCAGTTTCCTTCTAACTATACCTTTAAACCAATTTAATTTTGATCATCATTCTCTTTGTAGAACACAAACCAAATGAAAGTTGAGAGGTTCTCCTTTCTCTTGGTCATCTGTTAATATTACACCATCTACGCTAAGCAATGGGCCTGTTTCTTCCTTCTTCTTCTTGCTCCAAATATAGATACAAAAGCCCTTTTTGTTGTCGATAGAATGTTTCACAATCTCAGTTCCACTCCGGGTTACAGCCATTCTGACACTATTCTTACAGGTTTATATCAGTCTTTTGTGTTTATCCCTGACTAGGAAGCTCTTCTTCCATTCTCTCTCATAGGATTTCCTGAACAGCCACTTTTGTTCCTTTAAATGCTCTTCCCATTGCTTCTTTGTCAGGGTCTAAAAGGGACAAAGGAGTGACTGGTTTTTGGTTTTGGTTGGATATTCTTGAAATGATAATTTAAACTACACATATTAATTTAGAATTGGGAAAGGAAGAGAAAAATATTTAGTACATACAATGAGATAATTGTTCATTAATTTAGCATTCAGTAATTAATTTATGCATCAGTTTAGCATCCAGTGATTAATTTAGCATTGTAATAGTTATAGGCATTGTCTTGTTCACAGTGGGTCAGGAATTTGGAAAAGGCATATCAGGAAAGCTATACTCTGTTCCAGGTCATCGGCTCGGATGACCTGAACAGCTGGGAGTGACTCTAATGTTTGAGGTTAGAACAGTGGGAACTGGGGAATCCACTTCCAGGATACTTCTTCACTTATATGACTGTAGTTTGGGTTAGGGTAGTTGAAGAACAGGTTCAATCATAGTGTCTACAGGTATCCTTACTAGCATAGTTGTGGCAAGGTGGTTGGACTTCTTTCTTGGGAGTTCCAGACTTCCAGTGAGCAAGATGAAAATTGCATGGCCTTTAATGACCCATCCTAGGAAGTCCCATAGCATCACTCCCACTGCTCACTTTACTGAAGCAGTCACAGCCAGCCCAGGTTAAGACCCCACCTCTTGATGGGAGCAGTGTCAAAGAATCTGTGGCTCAGAAGAACTGCTCAGCCAACCCACAGAATTATAAGCTTAATAAAATGGTTATTGCTTTAAGCTATTAAAAAAGAATTGATGGTCATATTTTAAAACTGCTTCAGTTTTACAAATAATTACTTATAGAGGAGAAGTATATGTCCCTGGCCAGAAGGTTGACAAATGAGTAACTAGAAATATTTATTTTCAACCAATTTCTTCCTTTGATCTATTAAAACATCTTTGCATAAAAATAAAATACAAGGTCTGGCAGAAGTAAGACCTGCTTGAGTGTGGTTGGTAGGGTAATAATATGGGTATAATAATTTATAGATCTAATGTGAACATTTCACCTAAAATGTTCACTGTCATACAGTGTGCTTTTGAGTATGATATTGTTATGCTACAGAATTGCATGCTGATGATTTTATAATAAAAAGCAGCATTATTTGTGCTGGACTCTATATATGCTTCTTCTAAAAATGCACACATACTGAAATGGGAAAATTCTCTTCCATCTCAGCTGTGTTCATTTATTTATTGATTGATTTCCAAAGTTACGTATGCACATGTTTAGAAGATCTGTGAGACTTATTATGAAAAGCTGGGGTTCCCCCATCATTTCCTGTTCGCTAGAGGCACTGCATTCAACTGCTTTGGCTAATTATTTTGCATTCTCCAGACATCTAAATTGCATGCTCATACTGCTACTTCCTGATATTTTGGTTGCAGGCCTTATCTATTATCACTTTGGAAGTCAAGGCTTGAACTCTTTCATCTTTCATTCACTTCCTGTCTTTATTTCTCCCATGCTACTGTATCACACACAGTTTTGGTTACAAAGATGTTCAGAGTTTATGTCACTACACACTATTCATAGCTAAACAATGTCGTTACTATGACTATTTTTCCTGCACTTTTTGTTTCCTCCCTCCCTCCCACACTGAGTTAATATTGTGTCTGGTTTTTGTTGTTATGTTTGCTTTGTGTGTATAACATTAATTCAAGCCTAAACTCTGCCTTGACATTTAAATATCTCATTACATTCAAACACATTAGATTTTTTAATGGCTTAATTTTCTTTTTCTTCCCCCCCCACCCCCAAAAAAGCAATTTCATATATTTCTAGGCCTGAGACATTCCTTATCAGAAATAAAGATTCTACACCATGGAAAAGACAGCATTACAATATATTAGTAATAAGATCTGCTGATGTACTTTGGTCCCTATTCCATTTCATAGCTGTATTTAAACAGATCGCCTCCTAAAAGTGAAAAGGCACCATCAGGAGCTTAGACAAAGATCGGCTCCAAAGCTGGCTTAAAATAATTTTTTACCACCCAGGATATTTTTTTTTCTTGTGTCTTGTGTTTTTTTCTTGCTTTCTTTTTAATAACTAATAAGTTCAAGCTTAGGGAAGCTTGCCTTTATCTTGAAAAACAAAACAAAACAACAAAGCTTTTATATCACTTGCCAACCTGATATTGTTTTTAGAGAGAGATGGGAATCATCTTACAAGAGTAAAATTTATACCATGAATGATTCGGGTCTCAGTCTGGTGGTACTAAAAGGAGACAACAGCATTATTGACAAAGCTATTATCTGCTGGTGGCATTTGCAGAAAAGAAGCTCTTACAAATTTCCGAACAACAGTAAACTCTGTTAGGAAATTCTAAAGTGTCTTACAGGCCAAAAAGGGAATGAGGTTAGTAAAATGCCTCAACAGAGTTTGAGTAAAATACTGGATTTGAGAATTACTGGAGCTTGGATATGTAAAAATAGGGTTGTAGGTTGGGTCATGCTTACAATGGTCTCAAGTTCAAATACACTACTGTGACAATACACTGCTTTACCGGTCACACACTTTCCCAGGCGCTTCTTTCCTTCAGTAGGTGCTGGCAGAAGGCGAGCACAGTTGTTTCCCGTTATAGATGCCTGGCCCCAAAGCCAAAACATGAGACAGGAAGAGAGATGGAATGAACACCTTAAATTCTGCAGAGAAAATACTCCCTTTCTTCATGGTTCTGTTTTTACTCATGCTTAAAGAAACAGATCATTTTGGGTGCCAGAGGTAGAACTCTTTAGGTGGAATGTTCTCAGGCCTAGTGGACGAGCCTGACACCCAGTCTATGCTTTTCTTCAAAGTGTCAACTTCTTTCCCTCCTTCTACAGCTGCTTCTTCTGCCTGAGAGCTGTGGTCCCTGTTGGTGTGCATTTCCACATCAAATGTAATTTGTCCATCTTCTTGTGGGGAAGGGCCGTCACAGGGAGAACTGCCTCTTGAATTACTCCGTCCTGATTCATGTTGTGCAACCCAAAGAATCTTTTCCATGTCTCCATTGTGGATAGAGGATGAGCAAGGGATGTGTCCCAGCCCCCCATTTTTCCCATTGCCATTACCATTGTCATTGCTGCTGTTCACGGGGAGCTCCACCCAGGAACTGTTGAGGCCACTGGCTGGCGGGGGAGACACTGCTCCCTGTCATTGCAGTTGTTGTGGTGCAGGGACGGCGGCTGCTCCAGTAAACGAGTCGACACTGTCGGGCGGCTGGAGAAGCCCTGTCCATAGCTGGACTGGCTCAGGTTCTGGGACACCAACACAAGCCGAGTCCCCCACCCCCTTTTCTGCTCCTTGGCTAAATTTTCTTAGGGACCCCTCTGTGTAGCTTTCTGACCTGCCCGTGTCTGGGAGTGATTATTCCCAGGCCTGCTGCACAGCTGCCTCCTTGAGAACCCCCTTCACCATCCGCTGGGACCCCCTCACATCTCTCTCAAATTGGATCCTGAGCCTCCTGGATTCTGTTCCTTCTTTTTTCTTGCTTTATCCCTTGCTTAGGGTCATTCCCTAGTACTGAGATAAGTAAAGGTACATTTCTGAGACTTTGCTATGTCTCAGTATGTCTTTATTTTACTTTCACACTGTCAAAGTGTCCCACCTGTGGTGTCCAACCTGTGGCCCATGAGCTGCATGTGTCCCAGAATAGCTATGAATGTGGCCCAACACAAAATCATAAATTTACTTAAAATATTATGAGATTTGTTTGTGATTACATGTTGCAATGGATTTAATGTGTGGCGCAAGACAACTTCTTCTTCCAGTGT